TTGATATACTGCTTATCCTCACGAGGCAGCCGCGTCGACTGCAGCTGTATAATCCAACACCACTTAAAGGGGCGATCGATTCGGTACTTCAGGCAAGTGGTTAGTAAGCCTGGTGAAAACATTCCCACTGAACGAACACTGAACAAAAACATGGCTTTGAAGTGGGGCTTGCGATCACCACTTACCTGACCTGATCGACTCGATCGCCCTTGCAAGTAGTCCTGCAACCCTTAGTTGGTGGTTTGAGTTGGTGATTTGGGATTTGAACCCTTGGTGCTTGTGGAGGGTAGATGGCTCAAAATTAAGGAGATAGGGCAGACCGCAGGTTTTTTAGTCTTTGGCTGCATTTTCCAAAGTGCCAACTGGCATAGGTGTCCTATTTGGTTGTTTTGGTAGAAAAATCGATGGCCCTGGTTTGCCTGGTGGTTTAATCATCTACAAGGGCCTTCTATTTCCTTTGAAAAGGACACCTATGCCAATTGGTAGATGCACTTGCAGCTGCTCGGCCGTGATTTTTGAAAGACCCCTATCAACCATGCCTTGTGGTTTCCTTTAAGGGGACACCTGGGTTCATTCCAACTCATTCCCTACCTGTCGCAGTCCAATGTTTCAGCCACCAGATGGGACACCCCCTCCTTTAAGCGCACAGCGCCAAATGTTTTTTGTTGTTGTTTTTCTCCATCCCTTGAGGTGAAGCAATACAATGTCAGCGCGGAGACCTGCGCGAGGCGGTGTCGGTGAAACTTGAATTTTGGCTCCGCGTCCTGACAAGAGCTTCCATTTGCTGAATCGTGTGTGAGTTTTGTTGGATTGTTTTTCTCTCGTGGTTTTAAAGGGAATCTATCTCTACTGGAAATAATTGTTTTTTTTCCCCAGGGGGCTTAAGCAAATGGAAGAGAGGACTGCCTAAAGGGGCATCATGTGTACAATATTCAAAACCCGGCATGCCGAGCAAGACTAAAAAAATATAATGTTCGAAACATAGATTCCAATTTCAACATCATTATTTCTTGTCAAACATTCTTATGTATCTGTAAACACTCATTTGATACCAGCTTCGACCTAAGATGTCGTAGCCTTCGGCAATATTCTCGCGGCGACACTGCTGACGCCCTCGACCATGTTAGCATTGAGCCCCTCTAGCTAGTTGTGTTAAACAACAGCCATACTATGGGTGGACAAAAATATGCACCACTTGAAAACCATATGAAACCATAGTTTGTTGGTATTTACAGAGGAAGCATCACCCCAGGGTTTTTTTGGGGGTGCAGGTAGCGCCAAACTCAATTGCTCTTGTGCCCGGCATTGCAGCCAAATCGATCCTCACTGAGTTCTGGAGCTGCAGTGGTTTCTGCTTGAAGCCCAAACCTGTCTCGTCATCCCTTATCAAGAGTTCTCTAAGCCGTTACTTAAAGGGGCATTGTACTTAGTAATTGGTTAGGCAGGCTGGTTCTAGCCTGGTTATAACCCACTTACCATGGTTATAAGTCTCCTAACTAAGTTATTACCAGGCTTACTAAGCACGTGCTCAGTACCCTGCTCCTGTCCAGCAAAAAGCTAGTCCCTTTGCTTAGGGTATTCACAGCCAGCACATACCCGCACTGCATCAGGGTTCCAAAACCGGCTACCCGTGCCGTTCTTTGTTTCGGACTTTGAGCTTTTTGGGTTTGGACCAGTTTGGTGGTAAGCAAAAAGTTTGGACCTCATCCACTCAGATAGAAAGTGCCTGTTGCCCTGGGTGCACCACTTGTTGCTTTGTCAAGCACACTGGAAGAGCCATGACCGTGTGACCATGGGTAAAAAGTGAGGCTTGCAAAGGGCAGCCGTCTAACAAGTCGGTCTTCAACGTGTTTGTTGGCCCATTTGGAACAGCCTCTCAGGGCGATAGAGCATGTACTTGCTGCATGAGCAATGCTGCAGATCCCACGAAGGCTGTTTCGAAGGCAGCCTCGTGCTTAAATCTTGACTGCCATTGGGTTGGATCTTTAAGCTTTAACTGTTTGGGAAATCAAGGGGTTTTCCACCAAACCCACAAAAGTTAAACTTTTTGCAGAGGGGTCAATAGCAACCAAGAAATTGGTTTTCATCGTTCAACGATCTTATCCAATGCCTGAAGCAGCGCCAAAGAAAAATCCGAGCGTTTCCCCCGAAAACTGCAGGATCTCCTCCTGGTGGAGAGGGTTGAATTGGCAGAGTCGCATCATGAATCGCAACGCCGTCTGAAACTTGACTGGGATTCTAGAAACTTGAGTCAAATGGCCGTGGGTCAAAGTCCCCTACCCCCAGTGAACATCCCAATCCCCACTAAAAAAGACTAAAATGGGTCACCTACCCCAAAATGGGATCCCATGGGTTTTGACAACCACAGCGAAATCATGACTCGGGCCCTCCTGTGGCATGCGATGCATCCAAACGGGCAAATGCAAAGGCAAGATCGCCGCTTCGGCAATCTTTCGCACACGCCCCCGCTTGGGCCATGGGTTGCATAGTGGGTGGGGGGGTTGGGGTGCGGGGGTGCAGTTCAGTCATGGGAGCCCGTGGTTGTTCGACGCAAAAAGCTATCCCAGGGCACATCAAGCAACCCCAAGCAGAGTGAAGAGGCAGAGTCAAGAGGAAATGAGAGGAGACGATCCTCTACAAGGTTGTTTGCAAGAGCGCGAAACAAAGTCCCTGGTAAGTCTCACGCAAGCTCTCTTGCTGGAAGATCCTGAACAGCCCTGAGAGAGTATCTATATGAAAGGTTTTGCGGGAGGTCTCTAAAAGGTCCTCCTGAGTGGATTTCTATACACAATTCTTTCAAAAATGTCTTGGTAGAAATCTAGCTGCTGACACGCGTTGCTATTTTCTGGCTGGAACTACGGAAGAGTTCTTTGCGCACCGCGCTTGTGCTGACAAGTTGCAGTTTTGTAGCTGGCTCAAGAAGTGTTGTTTTTTTGTTGCCTTTCCACACTTGTACTCAAAAGTTGCTAGCTTGTGTAGCTGGCTCTACAGAAGTTTTCGCGTTGTGTAGAAGAAGCGGCTGGCAGGCGAAAGATGTTCGTTCGATTTTGCGGCCAGAATTGGCGCTGCAGCGCTGCGCTTTGACGCACCAATGGCTGTCCGTTGCGGTTTTTGGGCTGTGACCGACCCACGGGGAACGATGGAAAGCAGCCTTGTCACAACAAAAAGGGAATTCAACTCAGCTTGTTCGCGAGCAAGGCGAGCAAGGCCGATAGCTGGAAAGCTCGAAGAACAAGCCAAAAGTCGAGAACGTGTTTCACAGAAGTTGCCCTTCGTGCGCGCTTCCTCCACGCTTTCCCCGTCACAACGGCTGCTGTGTTTTCGCGTACTGCACTTCAAGAGTTGCGATTTGGCAGCTGAAGCTGCTGAAGCTCTGTTCTGAAAAGATACGATGCCTTGACAGCTGCAGAAGCTGTACTTTGCGTGCCGGTGCGATTCCGACAGCTGAGCGGCGTTCTAAAACGCCTGCAATTGAAAGTAGCATTCGGGAGGAATTATCGGTTTCAAATTGTTGATTCTTGCTAGGTTGCGGAAGCGCCGCGAAAGTTTCGCGGAAGGTGTTTATTATTTATGTACGCCTGGAAGCTTCGCGGAAGGGCCGCGAAGACAAGAAATTGTTGTTTTCCTGCACGCGCGAAAGCGACGCGGAAGCACGCGGAAGCGATTCCCTCTTCAAAACCTCTCGCGAAAGGAACCTTTCATGCCGCGCGGAAGGGATTTGATATTTCTCTTCGGCCGCAACTGCGTTTAGAACACTGCTCACAGCTGGAACATGCTGGAACTATGGAGGTGCACTTGGCGTTTTAGACTCTTTTAGACTTGAAGAGACATGACCTGTCCAGGGAGA